AAAAAACCGTGCCATTTCTGGAAGATCAGAAGATAGACTATCTTCCCATGCATTTATCTTAATTTCGACATTCTTGACGAAAAGTGACTTTTTTCGAGGAGTGGTGCCTTAAATACATTTTCTACAGCTTGTGCTTTAGAACATTACGTATAGTACGATGAACGAGGGATCAAGGTGTGTGTGTGTGTGTGTGTGGAATCATCTTATCTTGATTTGAACTGATATCAACACCCGCACAAACCCCACACCCGGCAAAAACATGACGGCCTTGTTTATCGAGTTCGATTATCAAATCATGGCCGAAATCTGAATCACAGTCGCGTATAAGCACGAATTTATCCTTCAGGTCAATGCTCATTAAAGGATGAAAATATCGACACAGCCAATAACTGGTATTAATAGAGAAGATTTTCGACGGCAAAATGTACAAGAAGCAATAACTTATCAATTACAATTGATTATAGAAAGCGATAGAGATCATATTCATATGCAATGAGCTTTATTATAAATTACGGTTTTCTGAAAAAATTTCTTCTTGTAAAATTTCTTGCTATCAGATATTTATGAATATAACGGGTAAAGAAATAAAGATGTAATAAGCATGTGGTACGAGACTTCATATATGTTAATTTGATTCATAGATTCCAGGAAGACTTTTAGCTGAGATACTCACACTCATCTTTAGAGCACAGATCAATTTTTTGTTTCTTAATTGGATTAACATCGAATCGTTCACTTCTGATTAAACCGGAAAAAAATTCATTGAAAAGATTTACTCATATCATCATTCCATGATTCTTTATGTTCAAGAATATGTTACGAAACCTTTCGACATTTTACAAAGCCAGTGATGATTTATATCGTAATACATGAACCCAAAAACTAATTAAGAGGATTCAGAGAAAGTGTCATGGAAAAATCGCGAAAAACTATGAAATTTGTTAAACTAAAAAAATGATCTGTAAAACAAATACGAAAGCATATTCATTTCACTGAGCCTATAATTGTTTGCTGCAAGAATATGAAACTTTTAATGTTCGGTTAGTGAACTGTGTTTTTTTAGAGTTTAAAAAAATGGGATCATACCATTACAAATATGCTTTATTGATTAAAAAAATATTATAATAACATCCAGAAACAAATGCAAAAAATTTTTCGTTCAACTTCATTTGTCTTGGATGGTACGAAATGTAAGATTGATGCGAGGACTTTTTACGGTCTTCTCCTTGGGCACTGAATGTTTCCAATACTGTTGTGTGTCATCTAACATCACGATGAGTGATCCGTTCGTCAACGAAAATTCGTACTGAAAACGAGAAGGGAAGAAGTCAAAAGTGAGTTCAAGCAGAAACAAATAGGAAAGTCGCAAGGAACTAGAAGACTAAGAGAAAAGAACGATTGAATTAAATTACCTTTTTCTTACTGGGATTTGTCAAAGGCTTTTTCTTTCGTGTAAGAACTTTACCAAAACAACTGAGATGATGTAGGAGAAATCTAAAAATGATATTTATTAGTAACATACACATCGAAAAATTTGGAACTAAAGGAAGTAGTGAAAAGAGAGAAAAAAATGTACCTGCGTGTCGCGCCCAATGTCATGGAAGCGATGACGTCTTTTGCCTCATTGTCAGCATGAAAATTGATGTAGTCGTTGCCGTTCCTGTACAAGTTGACCAAACAATAATCGAATTTCACATCTACAAAATCAAGGATTAGTACTGGTCCTCTTCTCGCTTTTCTTTATTTTAGATTTGTGTTTACCGAGCTGTTTTTCAAGTTGAGCTTTCAACTTCCGCATCGGTGGAGTCCATACGTGCTGCTTTTGCTTCTGATATAGCTCCTTTACGACCAATCCTTCTTCTGCGAACCAAGATTGAAGACGTGGCTACAATTTAAATGTTAATACAGCAGGAATATCAATAATTGCTCTGGCAGTTTCCTTCTACCTATTTACTCTTATTCTCATTTACTTACTAAATGGACAGGTTTTCCATACATAGAAATTGCAGTGTGCTCAAAATTCAATTCTGAAAATGAATAAAGATCAGTAAAATTGATGTTTTTTTTCCTCTTTGTAGTAAGAAGTACCTTCCATCAAGTGATCAAACAGAGCATCACCCTCCTCCTGCGATATGAAATTGGGACACCGCTTCAATGTTGACAGAGTATCGATCTTTGTTTCTTCTAACTTTGGCATTTCTTTGAATTCAAGCCTATACGTTGATAATAGAACAGAGATTAGTTTCTAGATAACTTTTTAATTACCATTTATCATTCCACACCAGTTTTTTCTTAGTCGAAATTACTTCTCCCTCTGAATCTTCATTGTTCGATGTGAATGTGCTTGTGATCAGGTTCGTAGTTATCATTTTCGTTGAACTCTTCTGCGTTCCGTCATCGTCTACTACAGGATCTTCTTTCATTCTTTTGCTTAATGCTGTGCTTGCAGTACTCAAAGAACGCTTTATTGATGGAGATGAAATTGTTATATTGGTGTTAGCTGTATCTACGGTTGTGGCGTTCATGCTTGATTTGTTGCATGTGTGCTTCGGAGTTGGATCATTCTTGTGTATCACGTCCATTACGTTCTACGATTGTGCCCACTAACTTTGATTAGTATGCTGCAATAAAGTATCTGATTAGCGGTGACGTCGCTTCAGATATATTTTTCATGAAAAAGTATAGGAACAAAATTTGAAGTGAGCACTGTGAAAACAGAATCAAAGGAAAATTAGGTCGATTTTTCTCCAAATAGGTTTTTCCTATCAAAAAACGTGAAAGGTCGAAATAGGCAAGCTGTTATTCCTTTTTTTTCCCTTCAGTTGTTTTTTTCCTAATTGTAATAATAACAGAAGAAATGAGCAAGAAAAGAAGCACCAGTACGTTTCGATGGAGAGCAAAACGAAAAATATTTTTGACTCCAAAACTAAGGAAAGTGAGTCGAGTACATAAAAGAAACAATATTATGATGACACGAGTGACCTATCTTATTTTCTTCATGGATAGATTGGACGGTTTCCCTTTTCATTTATATTTGTTAGAAAATAATATGCTGCGTATTTATAATTCATCCTCATCCCTTTGATATTGCCCACTCATAATGAAAGAGACTAGCAGCAGATTCGAACTTTTTCAGCAAATATTGGCTATATTGCCTTGCCCTTATACAGTGTGACGAGTTCTAACTAATAGCATGTCATACGGACTTAAGGGTAAGGCTCATGCGTTTGGGAATGATCGCAAAGAAGAATACTGAAACGAATATTAACATTTCGAAAAGTGGAAATAAAATGAACCGTATTAAAGAATTCGAATATATAGGGTAGTATTCGGTTAGTGAGCGTTTCTAAATTCATTTCTGCTGTGCGTATAAAATGTTAGATTTACAACTATTAAAATTGAGCCAAATGTAATCGAGTTATACGTCTATGTGCTCCGAAACGAAAAATGACGATAGTATACTTGACGTCTTCAGATATTTATTTTGTAGCTCGTCCGTCGATGACTCAGTTTGGTGACGTGGACCAGCATATTTTTCTTTTCGGTTCTGCGTTGTATTTCATCTGCATTTGCTAGCGAGATAAAGTGGAGAAGGCAAAAAAAAACTATTCTAACTACGTCACTGCTTGATTATGTCAATGATGTATCATTTCGCAATTCTGTCGTCATGATGGTGCAATACTCTATTGTGTTCATTTTGTGATGCACTTGCGCAACTTATATTACTTCCTTATGAAGAAAACAATTTTTTCAAATTGTTAATATAATATTTCTCAAGTCTTGGGCTTGTGAAGCACTGAAATGTAGTCGAATACAGTTCCCATGCTAGACAGAGGCTAGTTCTAGTCTTCAATTTTTTAAATTGTATCCAGGTCTATCTGACACGAGAGCTTCGTTGAAAGCTAATGAGTCCTTATTGAAAGACATCAATGACAATGTATGAAAAATGGTTTTCGTTCATAGTAAAAAACCAATGTAACGATTTTTAGTACATTTCATTTACTTAGAGCTTATTTAAAACAAAGCAAGGTTGTATTTTAAACTCTAAGTCGAAGAGAAGATAGTAGCTACGTCCCTATTGAGATGAACGGAGACTAAGCCTCAGATGTGAACAGATTGATCTTAGCAATAGATAATCTCTGACCAATGATTGAGAACATTTTTTGACTCAGTAATAGTCAGTATCGTCCTGTGGAAGCGAAGCGGAAACGAGCACAAAAGTTGTAAAGACTTGAAATTATTTCATACTCAGGATTAAGTATCCGTAATCTTTTTACTTTTTGTTTTTTAGTTATATCTACTTGTCATTTTTTTTTCTTCATCAATTTCTCTAGAGCAACTGTGTGCATCTAATGATGTGTGAAATCTCTTCTGCTATTTTATCATGATTCTTGTTTCATTAGTACATGTTGTTTATCATGCCAGTAACTCCTAACTTGTCTTTCTTCAAATAAACATGATAGCATGAATCGTGAACGATAATTGCGTTTTTACCTATAAGCTAAACTTTCTGTCTATAAGAACAGAGAATAGTTGAAAAAGTTTTGAATAGTCTGTTAATTACCGATTCCATTCAGTTGCATGTGTCTTAGTTTCTCATCGTCATCAAAATAACAAAATTCTATGTATCGACAAAATATTATACAAATAAATTGCTTAGCTTCATTAACGTTTTGACAAAAAAGTTCACTGTTTTTGAAACAGTAATTATGAATAACCCGATAGATTGTAATTCTAAGAGCTCTCTCATATTAATCGCCTTTGACAATTCATGTACAGCTTTTTTAATTGTCATCCATATCTCCATCGTTGCAGATTTAATATTCTTATGTAAGACTTTTCAAGCTTCACGCAATGTTCTGCCAGCTCTAGTTCGAGAAAACAGAATGACATAGAATATGATAAATGTGGAACAAGCTGTATACGTCTTTAACATATTGTTAAATGACCATTCAATCGAGACAATTAATATATCGAATAAGTATTTCAAACTAGTCCTGGTCGATTATTCCAACCGTCAGAAACGGCGTCTTGTTCGGCCTGAAACGACTATAAAACGACAAATGACATTTCCAATTGGTGAATATTATTTGAATATCTAAACCGTGCATTGAAACCATTCTTGCTCATAATATTTTCAATGATCACCTATGAAAATAGATGTCTTTTGTTATAGAATGAAATGCATAACGATTTTTGACACATAAATAAGCACAGCTACCGATCCGAATATCTATGCATAAAAATGAATTCTGAATTCTATTGTCCAATGTAAAGGAACAGCAGTTGAGTATTCAATTGAATAAAAACAAACTTCCTCTTTTGGGATCGTTCATACGTCCACATTTGTTGCAAAATTGTTTTGTAATTGCTTTTGATGTATTTTTATCAGTTGACACACAATGTGCAATGTTTTGAGCAAAGGTAAGAATAACGCCTAATCTGCTGATGTACCAAGAATGTACATGTGTATTGACTAAACTATTTGCGTAAGGAATGATAAATACTTTGGCCTACTCTCATTTTTGAAACTGCTTCTGAAGGCGTTGTATTTTATCGTGTTGTGAAGAAGGTGAATAAGAAGAGGAAAGAAAGCATGTGCACCGAAGTAAATCTTTGCAACATAGATAATCTCTTGACAGTGTTAAGATTTTTGGTAATTTTTGCTTTCTTTTTAAAATGTTTTGATCATATGCATTTTCTTATATTACATTTAGAGAGTTCAATTACCTCAATCCACTCTTCCTTTGCAATTACTCACTTATGTCTACCAAAACATTATCACTCAAGAAGATATTTATGCACAGGTCTTTGTTGATCATCCAACTGAAATTAAATGCGTTATAATATAGTATTCTACACCTGGTCTCGTTCTCCATTGGGATCTCATTCAAAATTATATTGGCAATGTTGTGATTGTCTGTGACAAAGAATATACGACGGATATTCGTTTCGAGATGTTAACAAAATGTATTCCATGGAATCAGAGACTCATGTTTTGTGCTGTTGAACAACGTTATATTACACCAGTGATCGAACGGTTTGTAAATGAGAAAAAAATTGCTCACTACAAAATATGACGATCTATTCAATTTGAATTGGATCAAAATGTATTTTTGGAAAAATCGAAAATACTTCCAATAACAGTTCCAGAAGGTAGCAATACACTTGGAAAAATGTATAAAATCATTCTGAATTTGGAATCATAGCAGTTGAAATTCGACCATTAAAGCCAGAAGATGCATTTTTTGTGATCGAGTCTTGGGGCTACAAATCAGATGATGTATATTCTGTTGCTCAAGTTCAATTTTGTATTAAGAAATTATACAGCATGGGTAAGTTTTTGACTATTTATATCAAGCTAGTTTGATAATAGTCACACGCTCATATTTGGAGCACACCCTTCAGATATTCTGTGAAACTATAAATATGATTTTTTTGAAAACGTTCCCAAAATGGACGCTTCTTTATTTCTCAAGCTTTCTTCAACAGTACAAGCCGAGCTTCAATTCTAAATTTTTTAAAACAGATGCATATCGTGATGGTAAACTGCTCTGTTGGCGACTCTTGCAATATGATGGTTCTCTCGAGATGGTATATACTATTCCTGAAGCTCGTCGACTTGGACTCTCGTCTCTGTTGAGTGTTCGATTGTCAGCAGAAATATTCAAAATGTAGGATCGTGTGTTCGGATATACAGCTTTAAATAATCAAAAAGCATTGGGATTAGCAGCTAAAATGGACTTTCATGAGACAGGTATAAGCGATTGGATTGCATTCGAATCGAGCGGTACTTGCGTCAAAAAATATCCACAGCATCTTCATATACTAAAACCTTCGATCTAATTTTGCTTTTTTAAAAAAATATGCCGATCGAATTATTTTTTATTATCATAAGACTTACAGGAAAATATAAATTCATTTCGTAACATCAACTCTGAGTTAATAACGTTTTTCTCTTTCAAATGAACTAGAACATTTCAACTTAGTAATAAAATATGCAAAGAGGAAGCGATCGATTTTGAGGCGACTCTGGATCACATTGCCGACACATGAAACTCAGAAATACATGCTTCATGCAATCTCCCAGGCTCTGTAAGTTTGATTAGTGGGAAAGAAAGGTGTGGGTGTCGGTATGGGTGTGCGTGTAGATATAGACGGAATGAATATTGAAATCAACACCCACACTCCACACCTCATCCACATCCACACTCACACACCTACACCCGCACTCCCACATCCATATCCACACCAAAATGTAACATGCAATAACATCGCAACTTTTGCTGATTTCAATCAGAAAATGTCAGTGTCCAAGTTCGAATCACTTCTATACGAAATACTTTTCGATCTTCTGGAGAAATATATC